GTTTTTCATCTATAACACGATGTTCTTCTGCAAATTTAAATTACGTCTTGGTTTGGGAGCTTTTATTATTTTCTATTTTTACATGAAATCAAAAAGAAATCTTAAAGGAAAGGACCTTCGAGGGTAAACAAAACATTTGTTGGCTAAGAGTCACGGAGTAAACACTTTAAATACGCCGAAATTTCTTATTTGTTAATCTTATCGAAACTGTAGTTTGTAAGATGTCATCAGGGCATCTTAAACGGCTTTTATATTTGTGAATTTAGATTAATGTTTTCTCCCCATTAACTTGGGATATACTTCGTCTCTTTCTTCATTAACTTGAGATATAGTCTGTTATTCTGTTAGTGTGTGTTCGAAGCATAAAGCGTAAAAATTTTATTTAGCATTTATTGTGTAACAGGAACTGAACATTTTAATTTTAACGGTATTTTAACAGTTAATAATACACTGTGTTGTATTGTCGACTATATTTTTTCAAAAACGTTGTTTAGCATACTGAAAAGTTTATTGTTAAATTATTATTTTTTTAAATTTTGTTACTGTTTATTTTTACATACTAATCAATAATCAAAGAAATCTTATAATTTTTTTGCACACTTACTTTTTCACTTGGAAATCTTTGTATTTCAGACGCTAATTATTCTGCTCATTAAATATCAATGGAAGTTACAAAGAATCGCTAATTCTTTTGTAGCCAAAGGTACCAGTCACCAACAAAATGTTCTGTAATACATATTTTTAGTTTAGTGTCTGTGTGTACTGACGTCAAAACCAGTTTGGTGACGAGTAAACAGACACAAAGGGACATTTGAATAAAAATGCATCTTAAATTTTGCATAACAAAACACTATTCTGGAAAAAAGTTAAACAGTAATAATAAGGTTGATCAAATTTATTATTTCCTTTGTTGGCGTCACGTGTGTAGACGGACTTCGTAATTAACTGTTTATTGTTGTGTTAGTCTTTGGTTGACCTGAATTTATTCATGGATAAAATGTCTTCGTGTAAATATCTATTCAAATTTTCCTTTAACAACACTGATCTGAACAGATTAGCTTGTACATACGTCTCCTCGTCTTGAGAGGAAAACAAAAACGCGATCAGTTGGTTTATGTATGTAAAATCAGAGTAATTCAGAGTAGTCGTTGATACATTATTTGTGTCGTTTGAGTTTATTTGTAACTATTGTTATGGGGAGTAAGTTGTGTAGAAATTTAAAACAGTTAGGAATTTAATACTGTAAATTAGTATAACATTAATTAATATTCTCCCCTTGTTAGCAACGAATCTGAAAATTAAAAAAAATAAATAAATTGGTTGATTTTTTCTTTAAAGATTAAAAGGTAATTTACACGTACAATTAATTTGAAATTTCAAGTGATAGTAGTAGTAGTTAAATAGTGCATTAAAAAATAATAAATATATCTTTATTTAAAAGCTAGAAACAAAATGAAATATAGCTTTTACAGATAGTAGAAGCCAAAATGGCAAATGTTTTTGCAACCTACGGGCGAACTGAAAACCTTCGCGTGCAAATAAATCGTGCCAATTAACCAAACGTTGTACTAAGTGTCTTATAGGCCACTTAAACATAATTAACTTGCCGAAATTTAAAATAATAATAATTCTCAACAATAAAGTCTCTTGGCGTAGTATATTTTAGACAAAAATTAATTTTCCAAAAAAAAATTCATTTCGGGGAACTACTTTCGGCAAATGTTCAGTTTAGTATTGGCAGTCGCCTGCATTTTGTATAGAGATAAGACTTGGTAAACGCAGCTGCTATCCGCCATTATTAATCCGAAAATAAGCGAAGCTCGTTGAAGTTGATAATATATCCTAATTTTACCTATTTTTGGTCATTGACTTTATTTATCTTTTGAAGCAAACGTGACAAATGACAGCCACCCAGTTTGAAACTCTTATTTCATAAAGTCTCCTTTAACCCCTTGTGCTCCACTTCTTAAATAAGTATGATAAGGTTGGTTGTTACATAAAATAACTTTCTACTGCTTGCCCTACGTACTTCTTTAAATTCCAAGTATCAATTTTTAAATAGTTATTGCAACACTTCCAGTTAAAAATACGGTGAACGTTAAGGTCACGTGATTGCACTGTATTCGAACTTTACGGTAATACAGTTGTGAGTTATCTCAATCTTTTTATGTCATCTATATATATTACGTTAATAAACACAATTGTGTGCAAAAACAATTGTTTATGTTGGTTGAAAAAAAGGTATGTATGTCTTAGCGCTATTTGAACTGGGTACAAAATTACGCTTGCCGAAACTTCAGTAAATCTGTGGTACTACTATTTTTTTTTTCTAAATATGTTTCGTTATTTTGAGAAAGCAAGGTTCAAGCAAAATTTATGTAGCACAAAAATTCAATTTGACAAGCTCGGGCATCGCTAGCCAAAAATTTGATGTAGTCTATCCAATTAACGCTTTTGCCCATACCATACACACTGATCTAAATATAAATCAATGATTTGAATTCGAATAATCTCACTTGATAAGAAAAATTAAAACAAATAATGACAGGAAAGTATGAAAGATTCAACCATGTTACAAGAAATGGGAAAACCCGCCGATTTGAATAAAAAAGAAAGTCCACCGTGTTATTTCTCGACGCGGAAAAAAAATCTGCTGAAGGTATAAATAATAAACTTTTAATTCCTGCTCCTCAAAACATTGAAGTAGTAAATAAAAATGAATTATTTTTACTTAGATCTGAATTTTATGCAAAAAACTATGGTTCCATCTGCCGGAAATAGTTAAGAACATCGGTTTTATTAAAACAACTGATTGTGTACCTGTATGCGTTAACGATACACTGTCCACTTCAAAATATTTCAGTTTGTTATTATTCATTTAGCATTGTGATAAGCACTCCGCATGCGCAATAGCTTTCTCCATAGCGTAATCATTGATATAACATATCTAACGCGAATCTGCAGGATAATCGCGACTTTTTGGTGCCATAGATGAAATTTACTTTTTAATCACGCCACTGGAAATACTAAAGGACTTCTAAGATTTCAACTTTTATTTCGAAACAACTTTCTAACAAAAAAAACCGATTGTAACTGTTTAGTTTACAATTTGTCGTGATCAATTAAAAATTTACCGCGCTGTTAAGCATTTCATAAGTGCCAAAAATTTTGTAATCTGAACACAACACGGAGCGAACACAAGGGTTAGTGTCTATGGCAGTTTACAATGGAGCGGCGTGTGACGATCTCAGATTACAGATTACCAGTGCACCTGCATTGCGAGCTCATAAACTCCTCTCTGTCCGTGCGCTGTTGCCAACTGTAACGAACCAAATAAAAGTACGACACAAACGTCCGTTCTGTTTCGACCCCGACGTGCTCTGTCTCCCACTCGATGACTGTAGTTTTCTTATCAAGCGAAATGGCGAGCAATTAATAAACATTATGTACTTGTTACTTGTTGGAATGCCCTTCAACAATTAATTCTCTCGACCGATAAACCACAACTGGAAATCCTACAGATCATCTAGTGGCCCTGGAAAGTTTTGTGATAATTGTTGTTTTCTACCTGCTTTTCAATTTTAAAAGAGTGGTAATTTTTTGATACCGATGCCGTTGATTTAGCAATTGTAAAGTAAAATTTCTGCGTATTATATTATATGAACAAATTTCGCAAACAGTGCGGTCGGTCGGTCTCTATAAACACGCGACAGTATACGCAAAAAGGGGGTGCCTTGATACACAGTAAACATAACATCTTTTATTATCTTTTTTTTTCCACATATACATACATATGTATACAAACTTCATTGTAATGTTGCTAAACTTCTAAGTATGAAACTTACTTACTCCAAACGTGAAAGGGAAACTATTTTTATACATATACTGTAAATACCACATCCCTTATATTTTTTAAGTGACAACAATTCAATTTTTTTTTTTAAGAACATTATATTGTGATGTACTAATACTGGGTCTGTACATGTAATTTTATGTTGTATTGACAAAATTTGCAAAAACTTATTTTTCCCAATTTTCCCTCTGATACATGATCGTTTCCGGGTTGGCGAAATTCTTTTCTTTTTTTTTTTTTTCAAAAGCAAAAGAGCACGGTAACTCAGTATGTCAACCATACCATAGGCGAACCTTATTCTTAATCCTCCACCTGAAGATGCCACTTACTTTTTTTGAAAAAAAAAAAAAGAGTTTCTTCTCTGGTATGGTTGACATACTGAGTTACCGTGCCCTTTTGCTTTATTCTTAAGTCTGCTCCTGAAGATGCCACTTACGAAAGTGTGCGAAACGTTGAGCCCAAAAACTCAATTTGAACGGTTCCAACCCGGAAAACGATCATGTATTGATTCCGAGCGTCGAGGCCTCCGAAATTATTTCCCTCTTGATGTTTCAGTAAATATGTATTGGGATCTGTTTAATATGAGGTTAGGTTAGGATTTTTAGCATACAGTATTAGAATAAATATAATGTTACGTATTCCCGGAATATCAGAAAGTTTATATGTGCCATTTAAATAAATAAATAGGTGTAGTTTAATTATCTAACGGACGGGGAGATCCCAATGGCAGATTACAATACAAAATAAAATAAAAATTAAATATAACTTATAAAACACATGCACTTACATGTAGCTAAATTAACTAAATTTAAAAATGTGTAAATACAAGACTCTATAACTACGTCTACAGAAATCCAACTGAATGTTGTACAATTCGAAGAGAAAAAAAAGGTACAGCAGAAACATTTGGTTCACTAAAGTCTAATCACACAGTATATACAGACGAATTAACGATAACTAAGAACACCACCACCACCTCTAGAGAGCTGTAATGTAAAGTAACTAAAATATCGTAGTTATTAAAATAAATCAATGAACATACTAATTTTATTAAATATTTTGTGTCAGCAGTTCTAAAAAATTAAGGGATCGGTTGCTCTATCAATTTGTAAGCCGGTCATTATTATATCTCTCATTTTTGTTTCAGCAACAGAAATTTTTGAAACGATCCGCCGAAGAAAACGATCCTGGGGCTTCGGGGGACAATTTCGAGCCCCCCGTGAAACTCCAGTGTACCACCCAACAGCACGGTTCCCATCAAAACGAAGGTCTTACGAAGTTCTCCGTCGAAATTGTCCAGCAGCTCGAATTCACGACGTCGGCAGCCAATTCCCAGCCTCAGCAGATCTCCACCAACGTAACTGTGAAGGCACACACGAACGCCTCGGTGAAGAGCGACGTTTCATCGCCCAAATCGAATCCGTCAACGCCGGCGTCAAACCTGCAGCAGAAATCGAACATCGGCTTGGATGTGGGCACGTTGGTCGAGTGCGTGAAACAAGAACCCGATAACGATTTCGCCGATTTGGACCAATGTGCCGCGGCATTAGAGAAGGATGCGGCTGCCAACGGTGGCACCGGTTTCGGTGGTTTCTCCGACCTCATCGGAGAAGACACGAACGACGAGATCATCACCTCGGATGCGTTCAACGATCTGATCTCCGATATTAGCAATTATCCCGAGTTAATGAAAGACTTTGATTTCGAGGACAAATCGGACAATAATAACGCGAGTGTTAACGGTTTGAAAGTGGAGGACATTAAAGACTTGCAGCAGCCAGTATCGGATAACCCTAAGTCCACTCACAGTCCGTTGGTGTCGAGCCAGAACTATTCACCGCCCGTGTTCGATGGGCAAGGCGGCATCGCGAAGAATAGAATGCCGCCATATTCCAACATTGACTTTTGTAAGACTGAACTCAGTCCGGCCGCTCAGACGCTCAAGCAGATGGCCGAACAACATCAACACAAAAATCAAATGGGCATGTCCTTTAATCCCGGCGCAAGAGCGCCGAACTCCAGGTCGCCTTATCCAGATTTTCAGTTTCAAGGGGATTACGGCGGGAGTCCCAATTCCAACCCCAACTTCCATAAGAACAGTCCTAATTTCTCTCAACCCGATATGATTAAACAAGAAATGATCTTCCAAGGGAGTGACTTTGATATGAAGAGGAAAGGAGCGGGCATCTATAAACAGCAATACTCACCTTACAGCAGTCCGAGTGCTAGCAGCCACGGTAGTCCCGGTTACTTGCCGCGAAATAGTACGGGAAGTACAGGAGGTGGTGGAGCTTTTGGCAGCGGTACGCCCCCAAGACCATCTTCTGGACCAGGAGGCACTAATTCAGGTCCTACGTTACAAATTAATCAAGCACAACAACTACACATTACTCAACAGAATCATGGACACGCAATCCAGGTAAATTTTTATCAGTTCACATTGGTAATACACTATTTTTGTATACTAATAAAATTTATCAGCCTAAAATTTAAAGAACTTGGTCGACAAACGCGTGTTTATTCTAGTCTGTAATGAATCTAACTGAGCTGATTGTACGAATTGTGTCAGTGATGGAGCATTAATATGTTTGTATATACAGGTCTCCCAGAAATAAATGCTTTAATTTTAGCCAGTTCATCAAAATCAACAACTTTTTTAATAGCATTTTGTCAGGAACTTTTTAGTTATCAAGTTAAAAATTGTTAAAATTTTATCCCAATTAAGGTTTCCTGCCCATGGATCCTCAGTCCCCTATGGACACTAATAATTATTATAATTATAAATATATGGTCAAAATCAATTATTAGAATACGTATTTTTCTAATCATGTCAACATGACAAACATTTAGAGAGAAATTGAAAATGCTGCTCCCTAATAGCGTACGGATTTTCATTGGCCCAAATGTGGGTGCTGATTACACCTTCCCTCGTCAATCCGGCCTTATCAGTTGATGGCATAAAAGATACAAAGTTTGCTTGTTCGTTTATTTTTCTATTAAGTCACTCACAAAAAACTAAGAGCTTTGCCTACGTGGTAAGTAAGGGTACTGTTTGTTCTCTGGATATCGTCCAAATACTACTCCCCGATCATGAGCTGCAGGTTTAAAAGATCCGTACTCGAAGATGCTGTTCTTAAAAGATTTGAGAACACAGCCATTTCGTCTAGAAATTAGAAAGCTGTGCCTAACAAACTTTAAAGAGATGACTTTAATAACATACACTTGACATAAAAGTGACTGTCAGTGTCAAAACAGTTGCCAGCATACCTTGTGTATTGTTTTATTAGTGTTGTTATTATTTGAGGCGAACATAGACGGTTGGTGAATGTATGGCCGGGAAAATTGTATTTTCGAAAAAATTATATATAAAAAAGTTGTTCCGTTTCGCGAGTTCCGTTACTGGTTAAAATTAATGTACTTATTTCTGAGACACCCTGCATATTTGAGTTCCAATATCATGAATTGTGTTTTATCTCGGCACTTCGCCCGTTGCCATTTTCACAAATACAACTCTGAAATTAATACTACACTATAGTTCGCGTCATGTGTTACAAATTGATGATGGTCTTCACTAAACAGATTGTTTCAACATTTGCTCAAATGGTACTAACAAAATAAAAAATGTTATTAGTATGCAAAAATTTTGTATGGAGGGTACTTTTGTTTTTGTTTTTTTTTTTTTACTTCATAGTGAACCGTACGGAACAATAGAAGAATAAAAAAAAACAAAAAAAAGATGATACATATTAGAAGCTGAATTTATTTGCAAAATCGACAAAATACGCAATAATGATTAAAATGAAATTTAATTTTTTTTAATTTATTTTTTAAATTTATGGAGCATTAAGGGTTGAAAAAAATCTTGAGATGTGAACATGGCAATGTAAATACGCACACACAATTTTGAGAGTTATTTTTTTTTTAATGGATGATCAATTTTTTACTAGCACAAATTGAACACAAAAGCAGTACTCCATTGCACTGATTTACTTGATCTAATCCCACTTACAATTTGAATATTAATAAATGAACTACAGGAAGTTTGCCATCAGGATGTTTCTAACATTAAAAGTATCACAAAAGTAGCTTATTTAATGGAAAATATTTGATTTATAATTATTTAGAGTGGAAGTATAAGAATTTTGTCGCTAATTCGAGTTTGGTATTAAAATACAACTCAGCAACGTCATAATTCTAAAATCCCACCTATATTTTTCAATTTTTTTTCCAAAATATGATTTTAATATGAAGATCATTGATTTCTTCCTTGATTAGAATGTAATTGTGTCATATAAAATGTTTTTCATTTTTTTACTTCCCGAGCGTAAGCAAAGGAAGTATTGTAATCAGTCCGTCGGCCGACTCTCAACTTTTACACTTTCTCGACCTTTGATAACCCCTAGATCGAATCTCCGAAAGTACTGGGCCGATTATTGTCAAAATTTGTATTTATATTAGGTATATCATGTAGATGGTAAAACGCTAACCAAAATTTCCCTAATCATCCCCTTCAAAATTATACATAGTAAATGGGTTTTAAATTGTATAAAATAACATAGTCCTACACATGTAGTTTATGACTCCGAATTGAGTTTTTACCCGAAACGGTGCAGATTTTTTGAAAAAAAAATCAAAATTATGAAACAAAATTTTGCAATTTAATTTGGAATTTGCAAAACCGAATGCTTTGAAATATTACAGATGATTTACAGTTATGATAAGCATGATAAATTTTTAATCAAAATGTAATTGCTCATCTCCCCTAAAAAATTGATGACGTCACCCCAAAATTTTGCTATGTCCTATCTAAAATGTACAAAATATGATGAGTCCGTACTTGTGATTTATCATTCCATTCATATTTTTTAGATTTGCTTAACAGGTCGCTCAAAAAAATCAATGACTGAGTCAATTTATTTTCTTGATTAAATCAGGAATAGTTCACTCCATTTTCCCGAAAATTTGGAGATACAACACTGTTATTAATAGTATTACATTGCAGCAACCCAATTTGATCGACACAAAATTTTGTAAAATAAAAACTCGTTTGAAACATAGGCGTTTACTTTAGCATTACAGACGTGCATTTGTTTTGTTGCACTGACTAGGTTCCGTGAATGTGGTATAGACAAGTTATAATCAACCATTTGTGAATTACACCATAAAAAATTAAAATAAAATCTAATGTTTTATATAATAAGCGGAAGTCGAAGCAATAAAAAAGTCTGGGCGACGATCGGTATTGTTTGCAGTTTCTCTGTTTGACTCTCAAATTAAGAATGCTTATACATAAATGATTTTAAGTCGCCTCTGCTAATACACGCAGCATCCGTAAGTAAACTGTTTTGTTATTTTATTGATTATAAATCAGACGACCCAATTCATTTTGGCGAAAATTTGGGAATAGAGTACTTTTATTTTTAGTATTACACTACATCTTTCCAAACTGATATACGTGTCCTTGCAAAAATGTTGATGACGTCATCGCAATTTTTTTTTTAAATTGCCCCGATACAAAAATGTAATGAGAAAAAATCATAATAGGCATGTCGTCGTCATGTTTCTGACAGCGAGGGAAGTATTGTCTAAACTCTTTAGACCAATTTTTTTAATTAGTATTGCTCTCTGCTCATTTTTAGGCACGCACACATTGCTGAATATTATTAAAGATCAACTTAAAATCAGTGGATTATAAAATTGTAGACTACAAAACTTACGGCAGCGCAAGTTGGTCTACGGTACATTAAAGAAAGATGGTTCATATTCCTGAATATTTTTGGCTAATCTGTATAATATAATCAGTACGCTTTATGAATGTAACAGGGTTTATTTTTGGCAGTTTAAAGAGAACAATAAAAATTGATGGTTATTTTTAAAGGTTGTGCAAAGAAATAACAGCAACCTTTTAATAAAGAATTAACAGAGAATTAACACTTCAGTACAAAAGTCACACTACACCATTTTTCTGTCATCACCTCATGGCAACAGCAGATGTGCCTTCAACATACTGTGTTTTTAACGTGTACTCCCACAAGGACTGTACCACATAGTCTATATAGTTAAATGCGAAACTGCACAGCAAATCATTCTACAAATAACGTGCGGTTGGTTTATTATTATAAACTTTGGTCCAACGTGCAACAAAAGCACATAATATGCAACTTCCAAATTAATTTATATAATTCTTTGATGGGGTACCTCGGGTATATGTCTGCAAAATACTCATAACCGAACATTGCTGTTATTTGTCGTAAGATAAATGGCAAAACTACATGCTACATGGATATATGTTTTGTTGTTCTAATAATGAAATAATAAACACTCTTTTTTAACATGCATCGATCAGAGTGTGAGTTTTTTACAATATTATTGAGTGTATCCTGCATTGTCATTTTTATCCAAACGGCCATTTAAACACCTTCTCTACTGCACAAAATCCATAAATGAAGTGTTGAACAGCGCGAAAGAATGTGGATTTCCATGCAACCAGTAGTTGCGCGACTTTCCAATGTCGTTATCGTCAATCATTTTATTTATTTTATTAATTTACTACTTTATCCATGAGGGTTGGTAATAATGTTTATGAAAAGAAATATTTAAATGTCTTAGGAGAAACTAAAAGCAACGGTGTTGCCCAAAAATAGATTTTGTCCAGAAGCAACCACCTAAATAGAATCGTTGAGTTACCTTTAAAAGCACACAGATCTCTCCATGAGGAACTTTACTGCCCGCTGTAAGCAATTTGAATCATTGCTGACGCCTGTTGCATTTCGTTTATGCAAGCTGTCTTTCTTCTGTTCCAAAATAAAGCAAAACTATGATTTGTGTCAGCATTTTTGTTTCATATACACAAGAGTCGTTTCCGTCACCAGGGAAAACTGGATGTAAGAGACTTGTTATTTATCCTGTCCTCTATGATTTTTTAATCAATATTATCTTTTCCCATTCAATTATTAGGGGAAGATTTTAATTTTATTTAAAATACCCAAAGCACAAATACCGATTATTTTTCGGAGAATTTAAGTTTTGCAGTTCCTAAATGTTTTCATACAACTAATAATCCTTCCACACATGACTCATTTCTGGTTCATCATAACAATTGAAAGGTTGTATTTTTACTTGTCTGGCTACTTTCATATTCGACGTTTCAGGACTCTTGCGAGTATGAAAAAATAGGTCGCCCATTTTCATCTGTCTGTATATTAGATAGATAATCCTTGTTCGATTGCATTTCGGAGGCGAGGGAAGTTTTGTCTAAATAAGCTTAGACCAATTTTTAATGTATTGCAAAAAAAAAAATTTTTATCAGTTTTCGCAGAAACTGGATTTGCAGAACTGTACTTCAGGGGTAAGGGAAGTTTTGTCTAAATAACCTTGGACCGACTTTTATTCAAGTTCATGAACTGCAAAATATTTTTA